CAGCTAGGTGAATCAACTATCCTTCCTGTCCTGCATTACTGTCTCTCCATTCGAACCCTCGGCCCCATAACAATGTGCTCCAGGTGCCCTTGCTCCCACCTCAGCTTCATTCACTGGAGACTCCAAGTCTTGGTTCAGACCCAAGATCCCCCAGTCCTTTCATCCCTGTCTCTCTAGATAATTATTCCCCTTACTACCACATACTTGCAGGATCCCCTTTGCCCACCACACCTCTAATTCCTGGTGGACTCCATCTGTAGGTGTAAACAGGATCCTCTTAGGTCCTTCCTAGATCCCCTCTCAGCCTTCCTCCTAGCCTGCCTCTATTCCTTGCTGCCACCTACCTAAACTCCTGCAGAAGCACTCCCTAGCAGGCTACCACACTTTCCTAAGAGCCCGAGAGGCCATCAGTAATGAAGAAGCACTCACACAAAGACAAGACTATATGTCAACTCCAGATTCCTACACACTGATACAAAAACACAATCAATAACAACAAGACAATATGATTCCAGCAGAACCCAGTAATCTTACTACAGTAGGCCTGGAGAAAAGACAACAGCTATAGGGCAAAGCAAGGACTTCAAAAAAGCCTTTGTGAACATACTCAAGGACCTTAGAGAGTATATGAGTGAAGTCTATGGTAAATAATAATAAGAAGAAGAAGAATGAAATGAAATGATAAAAACAATTCATGACATTCAAGTAGAATTTAATAAAGGAATAGAATCACTAAATCCAAACTGGAATAAAACTGAAAATAAAAACTTTAGGAATTCAAACAAAAATAAAGGTCAGCCTCACCAGCATGATACAAGCCATGAAAGAAAGAATCTCAGGTATTGAAGACATGGCAGAAGAAATGGATGGCTAGGTCAACAAATGTGTTTATAAAATCCTGGCATGAAGATTCCAAGAAATCAGGAACACTATGAAAAAGCAAAATCCACAAATGGTAGAAGAAGAAGAAGAAGAAGAAGAAGAAGAAGAAGAAGAAGAAGAAGAAGAAGAAGAAGAAGAAGAAGAAGAAGAAGAA